TTCTCTATATGTGTATAACTGTGTGTGGTTCGTATTTATCAACGTGGAAAAAGGAAAAGTACAATCATGTAAAACGGACGCGCCTTTTGTGCCTAAAGAGCAGAACCAAGACTGAACCGACACCGAAAAGACGAGAAGTTAACGGGCTGTGTGTGGTTTAGGTTTCATTTTTGGAGAAATGAGATTTGTTCATTATTTATTTCTTTATTTTTGTAACCAGAAGTGGGGAGAGTTGCCAAAAACGTTTTCAGCTAGAGTCCTGTTAAAAGTACATTGTGTAACTTTTGTGGAGGAGAGTGTTATGACCCGTCAGGGTGGGAGAAGTACACTGCAAAAAACTAAATCTAGTCAAGTTAACACGACTTGAATTAAGAAAGTTTGATCATGATTTGAGTCAATTTCACTTGACAGTAAAATGATCTGCAGTGGAACAAGACTTTTTGTTCTTAAAATATGAAAATACATCTTGTTACACTGAAAATAAGAAAAACAACTTTTTGCACTGAAAATAAGAAACAAAATCAAATGTTGCTTGAATTATGAAAAATACAATTATTCCATTCATTTGACTTGTCAAGTTGAATCGACTCAAATAAAGTTAAATGTTCTTAATTTAAGTCATTTTTACAAACCTAGATATTGGTTTTTTTTTGTTTTTTTTCCAGTGTAACAAAAAACCAAGATGTAAACTGGTTACATAAAGTGATAATTTAATGAACAGGAAAGTAAAAAGGTAAATTTAACCAAGGGAATTTAAAATATATAGTTAAAAAAAGGTTATTTTCAATTGTTCATACAAAACTTCTGAAGAATCGAAATTGTGTTTCTCACTCCCAAGCAAATAAATACACCTGAATAAATGGGAAAATGAATAAATAAATACAAATAAAATAATACATAATAATAAATGGAAAATATAAAAATATACATAAAATAACCTAAACTAAGAAATTAATAATAAGATTTACACATAATGAGTTTGTGTCAAAAAAGTTCATGTAGGTTTATAAAAAAATTAGTGACAAACTAAGAGACATATAACACACAAGTCCTGAAACAAAATAAATAAAATAAACACAAACACAAAACAAAAGTCACAGAAAACCACAAACACAATCGAGTGACTAAATTAAATTTAACTAAACTAAACTAAACCAGTGTCAGGACTGAAGCCTGGAGCCGGAACAGAGGCTCCGTCAAATGCTTTTCTCCTTGCAAACGTTGTTTTGTCTGAAATATTCCACAGTATGGCATTAAACCAGACCAAATTACAGGTCAGATCTGTGGAGAGGCGACCCCGCTCACAGTCACAGTGTCTGTTTTTCTAGGTATTTTTGAGCCATAAAACCACCTGTAATTGAATAAATGTAAAGTAGAGCTGTTTGAAGTCACACTGTGGAACATTCCAGGCACAGCAACGATATCTCCATGAAGAAAAGCGTTTGATGGCCCCTCCTCCAGAAAAGTTACACAATGCACCTTTAACAATAATATGACTCAAGGTGGAGTACAGCGTTATTTAAAGTGCCCAAAACGAGCCAATCTTCAGACCGTTTTAACGAAAGTCTGGACAATTTTGTTTGAGAAAATAGAGCAGATGACGAGCACTTTGGATTTGAATGAAACACTACATCAATTCTTGTTACATTTTAGAAAATTTCATCATCGATTTTTGTTTTAAGTTTAAATTACAACCACAAACTCTGTTATTTCTGTTTAAATTACAATTCAAACTAAAAATTATTCTTTATGACATTTTGCTTGGGGGTCCATCACCTGCTTGTTTCTAAGGAGACGTCATTGCTCTGTCTGGAATGTTCCACAGTGTGACATTAAACAGTTCTACTTTACATTTATTAAGTTACAGGTGGTTTTATAGCTCAGAAATACCTAGAAAAACAGATATTGTGACTGTGAGCGGGGTCACCTCTCCACAGATCTGACCTGTGACTCGATTTGGTGTGGTCTCCATGAAGATAGAAAGGTTTAATGCCATACTGTGGAACATTCCAGACAAAGCAATAATGTTTAAATTGGAGAAAAGGGTTTGACGGAGCCTCCACCAAAAGTTTTCTTGATTTCAACACTAGAAACTGTGACTCCTGATCACACACAGCCCTTTGATGCAGTAGTAGTAGTCCCAGTGGTAGTAGTAATAGTAGTAGTATTTATTGAAGTACATGAGTGGTGTACTAGACTCTGTTGTAGGGAGTGCGTTGGCATTTGTGGGCAGCTCCGGGCTCTGCTGTTCCAGACCAGCCAAAAACCACACAGGTTTTTAGTTTTTAGAGTTGAAACAGTGTTACTCCACATCTAAAGCTTTTTCTAGTTATAAACAAGTCTATTTGAAAATACAGTACAGACACAGCGCCCCCTGCTGACACTGGCACTCTCCAACAAAACTCTGTGGTCATTGTAATATTATCATTATTATTATCATTTATTTATTTTTTTTTTTACATTTCTTTTGACCCCAAAACCCATCTTATTAATACAGTTT